TAGGGTTAAACCACGACAGGAAGAAATGCATCTCCATTCAGAGGACTTACGTGTAAGTACAGGCTTCTGAACTGGACCCATAATCTTAATGCACAAAGCACACTTTGAACAACAGACGCCTGTGACTTGAGTGATATACTTGAGTTAATGAAGCCTTTAATCCACAGCACTGCCTGCAGCAGTGATCGGCACTAACTGCTTAATGCAACCACTCTGGGACTGGGAAAAGCGTGAAAGAAGCCCACACTTTCTAGCCTCCAATTTCAGTTACCCATATCTAAGCCCACCCTCTCATAGCAACAGCTACAGCAAAGAATGTCAATGTCATAGGAAGAATGCACAAGTTCAGTCTGACAAAATAAATCGTAGCGTGTAACACTATACCCGGGCTCTAGCTGGCATAAATCAGCACAGCTTTTTGCTCAGAAGGACCAAAGTTTTTAGGCTTCTCCCAAAAGGTGTGACTGACATAAATATTATTAATATCCTGCTAAGCTTACCTAAGGTGATGATTCCCTCCCTTACTTCATTGAGTTCAGATGTTTAGAAATCCCTGGAAGTATTTAAAAGACGTGTAGATGAAGCGCTTAGGGACATGGTTTAGTGGGCATGGTGGTGTTGGGTTGACGGTTGGACTTGATGATCTTAGAGGTCTTTTCCAACCTTAATGATTCTATGATTCTAAATCTTTTCTATAATTCATTTAAAATGGCTTGTTTTTTATACAAGTGCCATATATCCATAATTGTCTATGTGGTATATAAATGTGCATGTTTACAAGCCTCCTGCATAATAAAATCCCAATTTATGATGTATTTAAGTAATGGGGAAAATTACAATGAAAGCAACGTACGAGTTACTTCTTACTCAGAGGGTTCCTAACACTTTATTCATTAATGCAGAAATAATACATCCTCTATTTAAGAAGCAAAGGCTGAAATAGTTCAAAGTGTGATCTGGCTTTCTTGTTTTCAACAGCAGTTTGAGGATTATAGAGCACACTTTCTAACAATAAACCTTTAAAACTATGCTTAGACCTACTACTGCTACAATTGCCCTTAGCACGGAGTCTCTAAGCAACATGATTTACATCAGGTTTCTATATTCATTTGGATCAGTGTGGTTTGGCCCTTCCTCAGAAACTCAAATGATACCCACCCAATTCTCCAGCCCTATTCAATATTTGTACCTTTCTAGATCATATCTTGCAGGTTTTTTGCCCAGTTTTTGTACTCCCCCACAGTGACGTCGTGCATCTACCCAGAGGGTTGACAAGGGCTGTTCCCAGGAGGGCCGCTGGCTGCTTCCCACCGCAGGGGGAAGGGGCCCAGGGCTCGACTTGCTTGATGCAGCCAAAACAACATATTCTTCCCCAACCCCAACAGCTATCTCTGTTTAAAGATGCAAATACATCAGAGGACGAAAGAGAACGGATGAAGATTGTTAATATATGGCTTCTGGGCAAAAATCTGTCCCAAACAGGGAGTTTCAGCTCCCTCCCCACACATAGGACTGCACTAGGCCAAGTAAAAGCCAGGTATGGAAAGGATGTTACAGGCATGAGAGCCCTTAGTTCATCTTGCTCAAGAGGAACAAGAGAGATCTATTCTCAGCCAGCTAATGTCTTTGTATTTCCCATGCTCTGTTTTCCTCAAGGTGGTGTGAAGCCCTATACTAAGTTTAGCCCTAACTTTAGGGGAAAAATAAGGTCCCTTTGAGCAAAGAGCATTAAGTAAATGCCGTGTGTCTCCAGGCTGTCTCCAGGCTCATCTCCCGCACACTTGCAGCCCATGCAATCATGGTGCCTGCTGGGCAGAGAGGTCCTTAAGGCAAGGGCTATCTCCCACAAGCTAAAAACTACTTAACCAATAATGAGGAAGAAAAAAAAAAAAAAAGGACAAAAATCACTAACAAAGCAGTCTCAGAAAGGACTTTTATTAAGATGGGACCAGTGACGACTGAACAAGAAGGGAATTAAACCTCACATATCCATGAAGCAAATGTGCCACTTTTTAATACTGCTCTCCAACCACAGGCTCTCAGCCCACACAGCTTTATGCAGATAAAACAGCTCTTAATCAGAGCAGTATCAAGAATAATAATTTTTAAGCAGGCTGCTCCTCCTTGCCTAGCAGAGTAAGCAGTAAAAGCTTCCCTCCAAGGTGACTACCAACCAGAGTGAGCATTGCTCACCGGCTGGAGCAGGACCGGCAGACAAATGCATCTTCTCTGCCACAGCCCAGTGCCATGCAAGCCTAGACTCTCGCATCAGCGGGACCTCAGAGCTTTATCACAGCTGAGGACCTGGCACAATACGTTAAAAGGTATTTTGGCCACAGACTCGTTTCTTTGTGGGCATGCTCCCCCCTCAGCACATCTGAATTGTGCAGCACCAGAGACAACAGCTTGGCTAGCTCTGCACAATGCCACAGTCTCTCCTTGTGTGTGGGGCAGACATGCCAAACCCCCCGGGCCATGATGCACACAGCCAGCGTGAACAAGCAGTCCTAGCTGCGATCCCTCCCTAGCTTCCTCCCCATGGTCCGTGCCTCCTTGTGTGGTTTCTTCCAGCTATCAGTTGTACAGCAGACCTGGAGCTCAGAGTTTCTGGCTCTTGTTACAAGAGTGTCCTAAAGAAGGAAAGAGGGGGAGATGTAGGAGACCAGGTTGTAAGTAGTCAGGGCCGTGTGCTGCAGTTATGTACAGAGGCCATCGCTTTGAAAACGGGAAGCAAAATCACGTCACTCTCGGCTGTGCTCTTCTACTGTCCTCCCCATTGAGGCTGATGCTGCAGTGTACATGCAGAGGACATGCCCTGTAGACAAATCGATTCCTTTGGCTAATTTGATTATGATTCAGGTGCTGCCCCCACAGAGAGCATCCCCATCATGTGTCATAGCAGAGATAGCCATGCTGGCTCCAAACCTGGTCTCTCAATGCAGCAAAAGGCAGTGCAGTACACTGATAAGGCCTGGGCCCCAGGGGTAGCACCTAGCTGTGGCCAGACCGATTGCCCGCTGCTGTTCCCTTCAGCAAGTGACTTGCTGGAGGGAGCCCACGGGCTGTACAGCCAGCCTGCTTCCCACCCCCTGCGCAGCTCCAGCTGGCAGCCGTGCCGGGGCCACACCATGCTCCCGGGCAGCGCACACTGCTTCATGACGCCGTTTCAGCCTGCCCTTCGCGGACCGCAGCACAGCCGATGCCGGAGCAGCACAATGCATCCCTTCGGAGGAAAAGCGATGTGAAAACCCACCGAAGGTGATGTGCAAAGAACTGCTCCTTAACAGACTGAAGGCTGGCAGCTCTTTTGTTATGAGCTCTTTGGAGGATCAGATGCCCTCCCTTCCCGCCTCTACAGCCATGGTAAACAGCTGCAGCTCTGGTCGCAGCTCTGGGTCTCATAGTCCCTCCAGCTTTCCGCAGCTTCACACCTGCGTTAGTTGCCTTTGGTGAAGCAAAGAGTCGGTATGTCAGGGATGAAGCCAGAGCAGAAAGATGTGTTGTTACATGTCAAAAGGGCAGGTGAAGAAAGATCATTTTTTCATTTTCCCTCCCAAGTTACCTTCCTAAAGCGTTATTTGTGGTGTAGGTAAAGCCTTCCAGTCTGAACTACATAGACCCTTCCCAACACACACACACATGCTTTAGTCATTTGCCTCCTCTTAAAGCTCAGTTGAAATACACTCTGCAAGACCACTCTGATTCATTAGCCTTAAAAGCCAAGTACTGCCTCCTGTGGATTATGAAACAAATTCCGCCAGTTTTTGAGCCATTCCAGTATTGTCCCAGCATAAGATTTTACTTCGGAGGTACACGTACACAATTCACTGTAACCAAAAGCATTACTTAAGGATGAATTTAGCCTATGGCACAGAAGCACAAAGATACCAAACCTCTTTAGTTAGTTTTGAAAAACATTAAATTACAAAAAAAAAAAAAAAAAAAATTTGGCACTACAATGGTATAATTTGCAAGCTACTTCCCTCTGCCTCTGAAGATAAAAATCATCTCCAGGCTGCTGATGAACTTACCAGGTACATGTCAATAACTGGGGGAAAATTCATCTGAAGTATCAGACAATACAAGCTGCTGTGCAGAACTGGCAAAGCAATTTAAAAGTTTTGAAACCTGGCTTTGCGAGTTAAGAACGGGGAAGAGAGACCACGCGAGAGAGACAACGCAATGGACCGGCCATTAACCAAAATATTTCAAAACGGGATGACAATGGATCCGCAGGGAACCAGGATACCAGCAATAGGTGTTCAGTGCTGCAGCGAAGCACCAGGCAACTTCCCCACCAACAGTTAGCTATTCTTACAGCCCGCATTAGTCTGCTGGTGTATTCAGACAAATCCCTCGCTTTCTAGAAACAGGAACATGCAAAGCAGCGTGTCTAACAGCGCAGCTTCTCTGCTGTTCTGGCTGAAAGCGTTTTGTCTTCTTGCAGCATTGAAAGGCCCCCCCTTCACCTGCAGGGCCAGGACCTGCTATTGCTGGACCCGCCTGGCTGAGCCACAGCTTTGCTCCATCCAACAGCTGTGCTGCTACACACGTCACCTATTGACAGGACAGCGGCGAGTCGCTACCTTATTGCCGGCTACGTTAATTAAGCATCATGACTCCCTCATGAGACAGGCAGGTGACACCATCCCCACTCAAGTCGCTAGATGATGGAAGTGCCAGACTGGCTCGTCAGGGGTGACGAGGTCTCGGTGGGAGGTTGCCCAGCCCGTGGCAAGGTCGGCCACCGACACAAGCCTTAGCCCAAGCCGTCACCTGGACAGCAAAGCCACCTCCGGATGGTGAGGCGGAGGGCAGGGAGGCCGGGGGGGCAGAAGGATGCTCCCGGGCGCTGCCACGCTGCGAGCCCGGGGCAGCTGGGGCAGAGGCGCCCCGCGCAGGTGTATTCCACGTGAAGCAGGTGTATTACAGAGTCTTTCAAAAATGTCAATGACAAGAGGAGGAAGAGACGGAGA